AGAGGGCAGGGTGCCTTCCTCCAGCCTTTCCCTGCTGTGCTGGAGATGCCTCCATCAGAGAGGCCAAAGCAAGACCCTGGAAGGGCTGCACACAGAGCACATATGGGCTAGAGCTGGAGATGGGGACACCATCATGTGATACACACCAGTTATCCCCATGGAAGCCAGGCAGGGTGGCACGTGCCTGCAATCACAGCACTCTGGGAGGTGGAGGCAGAAGGATCACAAGTTCGTGCTGAGTTTAGGCAACTTAATGACTTAGCAGGTCCCTGTCCCTAGGTGAACAATAAAAAAGGCTGGGGATGTAGCATGGTGCAAAGGTCCTAGTTCCAGTCCTCAGTATGAAATAAGAAAATCAGCACCAGGGAGGTAACTTGGGGTGTTCAGTGTCACAGGAAGCCCAGCAGGAAGATGGGAGGGAGAGAATTGGAAGGACTTAGTTCAGAGTCCCAGAGGGGGCAGGAGACGGGTGTGTGCAGGTTCAGGGGGACTTCCATGCTCCAAGTGGGAGCGGGGCCGGGTGCTCATCATCTCCACCAGACGGCACAGGGTTCCATCCCCTTCCTTGGCACATTCCTCACTGACCTGGTGGTGCTGGACACGGCAATGAAGGATTACCTGGATGTGAGTGACCCTCGGGCAGCAGCTTTGGGAACAGGATCCTGGGGCTTGGAAGGGAAGGCCCCTGTGTTGAACCCTCAGGTCCTGGCACTCGGCAACCTGCTATTACGAGGGAGATCCTCACACCTTCCCGTGGGTGCTGGAGGCTCCAAGTCCATCCTGCCTAGGGGTGAAGGACCCTCCACAATGACCCCAAGTTCCTCTTTTCCAAATCCTGAAGCTGTGGAGCTCCCTGGCTGCAAAGCTGCAGCAGCCCTTGACTGAGCTGGACTCAGTCTCTCCTTCAGCTGGCCTCCAAGGGAGGAGAGAGAAGGTGGGACCCTAAGGCCAGGAAGCACCTACATGGCCAGTACTCCCTTCCTCTCCAAGGCCTCAGTTTCCCTGTCTGACACCAGCAGCCATTTGCTTTTATGTCCCTCCACCTCAGCTCCCCCCTGCATCCTCTGCAGAGCCCAAACCTGCCCAGGGTCCTCCTCCTTCTCCATGCATTCCTGGTCCCAGGGGACCCTGCCACGATTCCAACAGGACCAAGGCTGGGGTGGGCTATTCATGGCTCAGTCTTTCTCATGTGCTTTTGCTATCTGCCTTGCAGGGGAATCTTGTCCACTTGGAGAAAATAAAGAAGGTAAGCAGCTGTGTCCTGCAGTTCCAGGAGGGTGGGAAGGCAGAATTCAGAAACCTCCTGGGCTGGATGCTCCTAGGGTTCACCCTCTGCACCTTTGCTTTCTTAGGAGGGTTTTGTACACACAGAAAGATGAAAACCATCCAGATGGAGCGTGTGCATAGGAGACTGGACACGACACGTGTACAACTACCTGAACATGGGGCAGTTTCAGCCCACGTCTGAGAATAGCTTAGGGCTCAGGTGGGATTGAGAGGATGAGGGGACAATTAAGGAAAAGCCCTGCAGACCAGCCCTGAACTCTTCCTTCCTTGCTCACAGCCCTCACGCCATGTCCAGTGCCAGCCCTCTCAGAACCCGTCTGTTCCTCTTGCTCCAGGAAACCACAACTCTTCAAGAGATACAGCTGTTCCAGGTGGCAGAGAGGAAATATAATTTTCAGTGTGAGGAAAACTTTGAGGTCTGGTTCCACTTGAGGGAGGGGCTCAGTGAGAATGAGAGGTGAGGCCAGGCAAGACTCGTGTGAAAGCCCAGGGATGGGGAGGCTCTCCCTGGCTGCTCACTGTGGAGAGCCTGTGGCCACGGCTCCAGTGTCAGCCACAGACCCTGCTGCAAGGTGGCTGCTGAGGCAGCGGGACTTGGTCTGCTGGGCAGGCACTGGGAGGGAGACTCCACTTGGGGGTCTCCATAGATTCACAGATTCCTCTCTGTCCCACAGCTACAACCTGTCCTGCCTTCTGGAGCCCAAGCCCAGCAGGACAGCAGCACACTCAGGGACAGAAAGACTTCATCCTAAGCCTCAGGAACCCCTAAAGGCTCATACCATCAGGGTCAGACAGACTCAGCACTCAGTGAAGTCTGGGCTGTGAGCTCTCGAGACAGAGCTGGCTCTCATGTCCAGCTCCACTCTGACCAGCCTGGGATCAGGGTGGGGAATCTCACCACTGTTCCTCAAGCCCCATTGTCACCAATTTGATTTGCCCTTCCAAAGCCTTTTTCTTTTTTACATATCTTTAACTACTCTGCGCTTCTCTTGTTTCAGAGTGTTTTTATTGAAATTAATATAGATAAATTATACATTGTGTTTTATTCTTTTTTGTGATTTTTCTTACTTTAGGTCATATAGTCTATAGGTCACTATAGGTCAATGGAGGTCATTGCTTATGAATGTATTTCATTTTCTACTATTATTTTGATACTCCATCTATCTATCCATCCATCTATACCACTGTCATGAAATATCTTTACAACTTGAGGCCATTATAAACCCTGCGTTGAAGCCAGGTATGTGAGCTTCCTGCTCTTTTCCTTTGGGAGGTTTACTGGACCACATGTGGTGTCTGTCTCTCTTCTGTGTTTTCTTGGATGGGTTTTAGAATCCATGCTGGGGATTTAGCTCAGTGGTTACGCCACCTCCCTGGCAAGTGCAAGGACCCGAGTTCAATCCCTGGTACCAGGTACCAAAAAAAAAAAAGAATCCAGCCCCCACCCCTCTAGCACTACAGTGTCACCCTCTCTTTGCAGTGTTCCCATATTCATGATGTTTCAGCACTGCAGATCAGTTAAATCCTCAAAGAACACAGCCCAAGCTTCCACTGCAACAGGGTATCACCAGAGAAAAGGCATAAATGTTCATTGAGTATGCTAGGTCAAGCCCTTCTCCCGCTCTTTCAAAATTGGGCAGAAAAAAATATTTCCCAAATTACTTTAGAGGCACACTGTACCCTGGTACCTAAGCCAGACAAGGATGTACAGGAAAATTATAAGCCAACATCCCTCATAAAGATATATACAGAAATTCTAAACACAATTCTAGCAAGCTAAACTCAGCAGTATACTGCCAGAGCCATTTACATGATTGTGTGGAGTTTATCCCTGTGATGTCATGATGTCTGAACACATTCAAGTCGGGAAATGTGGCACCGCACAATAACAGAATAAAGGGGCAAACACCTAAACGGTCACCTCACCTGACGCAGAAGGAACGTGTACTAACATTAGGTATCTTTTTATGATAAATGCTCTAAGCAAATCAAGTACAGGAATGGAAGTCAACACAATAGAGGTCATTGTCACAAGCCCACAGCTGGCATCACCCTCAGTGGTGAAAAGCAGAAAGCCTTTAAGGTGGGAAACAAGACAAGGATAGTCACCCTCAACACTGCTTCTCAGCACAAGGCTAGAAATGGGAAGCAGAGCAATGAAGCAAGAAAAAGAAATAAAAGCCATCCAGATAGAAAACTGCAGAGGAGAAGTTGGCACTTTTTAGACAGGATCAAATGCTATTAAAACAAATTCAGTGAAGTTGCAGGACACAAACCAACATACAAAGTCACACATGCAATGCACAAAAGAAATCAAGCAAACAATCTCTTTTATGAGCCACAAAAAAAGAAAATAGAAACTTAGTTGTCTCTTTTTGGGTTGGTTTTTTTTTTTTTTTGGTACTGGGAATTGAACTCATGACTTGCCCTTGCCAGGCAGGCGGCAGAACCACTGAGCTAAATCCCCGGCTCCCAGTCATCTCCTTTTGAGAAGGACTTATCTTGGTTTTGGGAGCCACTGTGGCTTCAGGATGTGGACAAACCTCTCAGTGCCATGGTGGCAGGAAGGAATTAAGGAGGGAGGGAGGGAGGGAGGGAGGGAAGGAAAGAAGGAAGGAAGGAAGGAAGGAAGGAAGGAAGGAAGGAAGGAAAGTACAAGGAGTCTTTCCCTTCATGCTTGACTTCCTGGCACAGAGGTTGGTCCATTTTCTGGCCCCCTCCCAGGGTGCTGGGGTCACCAGAATATTTACATCACTGAGCCAAATGGATGCTGGACTCAAGCCCTCTCTTTCTGTCCAAGCCCTGAAAGTCCAGTATAAACACATGCCCAGCTTTGGTGGGAGGTTCTCCACCCTTACAAGCTAGTGGGAAGTTTACATTGTTTTATTTGTTCTTCTTTTCAAAATTCCAGGCCTTGGACAATGAGCAGGGGCTTGTGGATGGATAGGATAAAGAAGGTCCGTGATAGCAATAATTTCCAGGGTAGCCCTCTTCCGATGTTGATATCAGAACTAGTATTGCTGGGGCCACTTGTCTATTCCTATGGACTGCCTCGGCCTCCCTGATCCCACCGAGGGGCATGTATGTGCTGGTTTGGCTCGATCCAGGCTCACCCGACCCCAAACCTCGCCCTGTTTTAGCATTTTGTTGTCACTGAGACACATTCCCTGACACCCACTGGAAGGAGCACAGATTTGTGGCCAACAGGGTCCCCTATGTGGGTCCCCAGCACAGGAGTCTTCAGCGGGGTGCCCGGGCACTAGGTCTCCAGGGTGTTCACACGCACCAGCTCCCTGGCACATGCGTCCTCCACGCGCCGCTTTGGACATGCAGGTGACCTCCGGCCCAGAGTCTTCCTTCCCTATAGAGGTGCCTAGCCCTGCCCTATCCCCAAGCCCTGCTCTCAGCCACCGGGCCCAGGCACTTGCAGTTTCCGAGGGTGACTTCAACAGTCGGTCCCCAGGAGCGGAGCCAGGATACGACGGCGACGCCCACAGGCGGAAGACGGCACGCCAGGCAGAACAGGACAGGGCGAGGTGGCACTGTCCCTTCTGGGGCCCCATGCATCCCCTTCCCTCTCCCCAGCCTGAGCAGGCTCCAGCGCGGGGCTCTGCTGTCCCTCTGTGGCCTCGCAGGCAGCACTGGGCGGGGAAGGTCGGGTGCCTTCCTTTTGGTGTCGGGGGAGGCGGGCCGAGGCGGTGACCACCAGCAGAATGAGGGCGCCAGGGGCCGGAGCGCCCGGCCGTCCCCACTCCTCGGGGCTCTTCTGCAAGGTGGGGACCTCCGCCAGTCAAGGTGTGGCACAGCCGGAGCACGGTCAGTGGGGCCAGCCTGTGCCAGGGGTCGGGACGCTGCAGCGCCCACTGGGAGGCCCGCGCCCCCTGCCCCCTGCCACTCCCCGGGCTCACGGCGCGGCTCTCACGCCCCCTACTGGCCCCCATGCTCCACTGGGTCCTCCTGGACCCAGCTCGGGGCTCAAACTGGGTGCGGGGTTCCATGCTACAGGAGCCCTTGAGAAGGGCTGCCTCAGTGGGTTCCCTGGGATTCAGTTCACAGTGCTCAGCCATCCAGGCACCTGGAAGCTTCTGCACCCATGATGCAGAAAGGCCTAAGTACTGCTTGGAGCTGGTGGTAGAACTTGGTGTCAGCTACAGGGTGCTGTTTTCACAGGTATGCAGAACACAAGAGTTGAGTCAGGAAGGCTTCCACTCAGATTTCACAAGAAAGCCTGGCAGGCCAGGTTGGGTGTCCCTGAGAGGGCAGTGCATGAAGCTGTGAGAGTTAAACCAAAGGTGCACTGGAGAACCCAGGATGAAGATGCAGTCAGGGACATGGAACACCTGAGGAAAGCCATGCACCCAAACATGTAACCCTCATCTAATCAGGAAGGAAACATCAGGAAAACTTAAATTTAGGGACATTCTACAAAATATCTCATCAGTCGTCCTCAAAACTGTCAGCTCATACAAAATGAAAAAAGGAAAAATTGTGAAAATATCAGTCAAGAGGCATCTGAGGGATGCAACAATGAAATGCAATGTGGCAGCCTGGACGGGACTGCAGATTGTTGTGGAAAGCAAGGGGTGAAGGTGGATTTTAGTGATTGTACAGGATGTACTAGACTAATGTACGACATTAATAACAGGAAATAGGAGAACTTTGTTGCCATCTTAATTTTATATAAATCTAAATCTCATATATAAATGTTACTTAAATATATAAATATATAAATGTTACTTAAAATATATTTGAATAAGACACTTGCAGTTTTTCAACAGGCTATGAAACAATTTACCTGGAACCACCTCCCTCCCTCCCTCCCTCTCTCTCCCTCTCTCTCTCTCTCATTGAATTGCTTGGAATTTTGTGCAGAGGACTGTAATATTGATTATGGCCAAAACAGGCTGTGAAGACTTAACCCCACAACTGGCTTGTTTATAGAAGTGAGGCTGGCTATTTTGTTCCTAATTCCAGAATGCTTTGTCTTGTCCTTTCTGTGCCTTGTTTACATTAATTTCCATAGAAACCACATGTCATCTTTACCCCAATTGATTGCCATAAAAGTCAGTGCCTGGGACTGACCAGGGCCTTTGTCAGTTGCACCAGCATTGGTCCTCCTGGCACCCTGCTTTCTCCCTTAGTTCTGTCTCTTAGTGTATTTTTTTCTCAGGCCTGCATCGTATATTCGGCAGGTGGGTACTGGAACTGACTACAGGGGTCTCTGGCAATTTTGCATGTTAGAAGTCAGAGGATTGGAATATGAGTTTTCCGAGGCCCATGAGAAAGATCCATAGAAGAAGACTATGCTAATCTCACACCTAAGAAGAGGTAGGGTATCCATGAGAGAGGATCAATTTCCAACAAAGCCACAAATATCTGCCATGTGCTATAGATACCATGATGTTCTAAACCAGGATGTCAAGCAAGTTCAATACATGATGTAATGTTTACACACATGACTATGTTAAATATGTGAGCATATGGATACTCTTATAATTTGAGGATATTGATTTATCATTATCCTTTAGCTAGCAAGAACCTGGACTAAGTTTAATTCTTTTTAAAAATCAAGCTGAATCTTGCAGGGTTTTCCACTTTTATCCTTGTAACAATATTTTCTCCCAGACTACATATAGATGTGTTTTAGAAAAATCAGTACCCTGAATTTTCCTGGAGCGTGGTGAACTTTTGAGTTATACCTACATATGGTTATCTATGTGTACAGCTTCATCATATTTTGACTAGTCTTTTTCTCTTCACAGGAGCATTACTATATTTCTAAGGTCAATTCTGTATTTCTAGTTTTCTGTATCTTCCTCATCCCCATCACATTCTCATAACTTTTTTTCTTTACACTGTAGATATTTCCTAATCTTAGCTTCCAAATATGTGCTCTTTATGGTATCCAATGTGAATTTCTACTCTGCCTTTATTGCTTTAGTGTTATTTATCCTTATATACATTTAAACATATCCTAGCTTTATGCTCATTAAGATAAGCCAATTTTGGTTATGAGAAATCTGCTTCATGAGAATTTTTTAATACCTATACATTGGCTAATGAGGCAGATCTTCAGATTTTTGTTTGCTTCTTGAAGTATCATTTAAACTTGTTATCACTCACCCTTTTTAGGTATACAGTCTTGTGAATTTTGACACATGTATGCAGCCCTTAAACATCATCACAATATATTAAACATTTCAATTAGTCCTTACTAGATCTTGACCCTTTAGCTTTAGCTCTAGTGACCACATATCTGATTTGTCTTTATCATTTTATAGTTTCTTCCAGAATATGATATAATCGGAATCACATAAGGTGCTACTTTTGAGTCTGAGTTTCTCACATAGCACAATGCCATCAAGAGATATAATTTTATTGCATATGTCAATAGTTTGCTTCTTTTTGTATTTAGTAATATTCTTTTTGTGAATATATCACAATTTATTCATCTATTCATCACCTGGTGGACATTTTTGTTCTTTCTAGTTTTTAGGGATTTGGACTAAAGCAATTACAAACATTCAGGTATATGTTCATGTATTTATTTCTTCTAGTTAAAAAGTAGATAGCATTTCCAGGTTGTATCCCAAGTGCAGATTTGATTTTATAAGAAGCTACCAAACTTTTTTAAAGTGGCTGGATCATTTTGCTTTCACAGCTTCAATATTCCTGCTGCTCTGCATGCTTGTCAGTGCCTGGTATTTTCAGGGTTTATTATTATTATTTCCTTTTGTTTGGTTTTTTGAGGCAGGGCCTCCCTTTGTAGTTTAGGTTGGGCCTGAACTCACTATGTACCCCAGGCTGGCCTCGAAATCCCCCTGATCCTCCTGCCTCAGCCTACTGAGTACTGGGATTACAGGCATGCACCACCACGCTGGCATGAGCCAAATTTTTTTGTATTACATTATCAGGGAAACAAGAATATGTGTCTGTTCTAACCCAGTTTGACTTGAGTCCTTATAAAGAGACACCAGTGGAGAATGTGTGAAAGGCCTTGTGAGGGTATGGCTGGGAGTCGGCTGTCTTCAACTCAGAGAGAGAGGGCTAAGGAGAAATTTTACAGGCAGGTTTTGCTTGGATTTTACCCTTCAGACCTTTAAGCAAATAAGTTTTTAAAGCCAAGTCTTTAATATTTCTGTCAGAATTAGCAAACTAATACATTATACTTTGTTGGACTATGTTTTATTATTTCCTCTAAGGTTTTATAATGTAAATCCTTAATTTACCACAATATACTGGGAATACTATTTAAATGATAAAATATAAGAAAATTTCAGCGTAACTTTTCCATTTTTTTTATTCATAAATGATTTACTAAAAAACTCTTAATTAAGTACATTAGGATATCTCCAGCTAGTATTGTATTTTCTGTACATTTTATCAAGAAATACTGATATCAAAATATTTTATATTATTTGTACAGGTCTTTACATGAAAAATTTTTAAAAGATTTTCAAAGTGAGCTTACATATACAAAGTTTCTCCACAGTATGACTTCTTTCATGTATCTGACAGTATGTATATTCTGAAAGATTTCCCACATTGCTTATATATGCAGGGTTTCTCCCAGTGTGACTTTATGTCTGAGAAATGAGAACTTAGTAGCAAATCCTTTTCAACATTGCTTACATACATAAGGTTTCTCATTTGTGTAACTTCTTTCGTGTCTTTTACAATGACTGCATTGTGTGAATGCTTTCCCACACTGCTTACACACATAGGGTTTTTCACCAGTGTGAGTTCTTACATGTATTTGACAACATTTGTGTGTCCTGAAAGTTTTATCACATTGCTTAAATACATATGGTTTCTCCCCAGTGTGAATTCATGTTGTTTATAATAACTGCGTGTACTGAATGCTTTCCCACACTGCTTACATAGGGTTTCTCCCCAGTGTGAATTCTTTCATGTCTTTGACAATTACTGTATGTTGTGAATGCTTTCCCACATTGCTTGCACACATGAGGTTTCTCCCCAGTGTGAGTTCATGTTGTTTATAATATTTGGGTGTGTTGAATGTTTTCCCACATTGTTTATATACATAGGGTTTCTCCCCATTGTGACTTATTTTATGTCTATAAAGTGAGGACTTTGTAGCAAATATTTTTCCATTTTTCTTACATACATAAGGTTTCTCATTTTTGTGTGTCCTTTCATGTTTTTGACAATTACTCTGTTTTGTGAATGCTTGCCCACATTCCTTAGTGTTTCTCCCCATTGTGAATTCTTTCATGTAGTTTATAATAACTGCATGTATTGAATGCTTTCCCACACTGCTTACACACATAGGGTTTCTCTCCAGTGTGAATTCTTTCATGTCTTTGACAATTAACGTATGTTGTGAATCCTTTCCCACATTGCTTACATACATAGGGTTTCTCCCCAGTGTTAGTTCTTTCATGTCGTTTATAATATTTGGGTATACTGAATGTTTTCCCACATTGCTTACATACATATGGTTTCTCCCCCCATGTGAATTCATGTATTCTACAATAACTGCATGTACTGAAAGTTTTCCCATTGTTTACATACATAGGGTTTCTCCCCAGTGTGACTTCTTTAATGTTTATGAAATGAGGACTTAGTACCAAATACTTTTCCACTTTGCTTGCTTACATAGTTTCTCATTTGTGTGTCCTTTCATGACTTTGACAATATCTGTGTGTCTTGAAAGCTTTCCCACATTGCTTACACACATAGGGTTTCTCTCCAGTGTGAATTCTTTCATGTCTCTGACAACTACTGTATGTTGTGAATGCTTTACCACATTGCTTACACACATAGGGTTTCTCCCCAGAGTCAACTCCTATATGTCTGGGAAAGGAATTACTATGAGATAATGGTTCCCCACACTCCTCAGATACATAAGGCTTCTCTGCAGTGTGCCTTCTTTCATGTACTTGAATACAGTGGGATGAAATTAAGGCTTTCCACATTGTTTAGGTACATATTGATTCCCCCAACTGTGATTTCTTTCATGG